CTCTATATATATATATATATATATATACAAGATATCGCACATTTAGTGCTGGTGTTTATAAAATAGTGCTTGATGTAATATAAAAGTTCTATTAAATACATATTAATAGATATACACTTTTTTTTCGACGGTGTTTTTCTTAATGAATTTAACATCAACATTAAGAAGCCAGTCATAGAATTTATCAGGATTAAAATAAACATAAATCGGCACAATATGGCCAGATTATTCAATCAATCATGCTTTTTGAATATATATATATATATATATATATATATATATATATATATATATATATATTATAAATTAACTGATTTAAAAATGGCTACACAAGAATTACCATATTTCAGAAAAACGAAGTTAAAATCTTAAATTTAATTATATAATTAAATTAAAACCATTAGTTCTGGTTCATCTTCAAGCGATTTTTTATATATATATATATATATATATATATATATATATATATATACCCCTGACACACACATATATATATATATATATATATATATATATATACTCTTTCTTCTACGGTGTTTTCCTTAATGAATTTAATATCAACATTAAGAAGCCAGTCAAAGAATTCGACAAGATTAAAATAAATATAATATGACCAGGTTTTTCAACCGATCATACTTGAATATATATATATATATATATATATATATATATATAATACATAAATGGTTAATGGTCAGAGTTGAATCAGACCAGGACGCAGTAGTATTAAAAAGAGCTCAATACACGTGTAAAACAATAAAATAGAAGTAAAAATAACATGTAAAGCTTTTAAATTATTTTCTAAAGTTGTAGCGTCTGGGTGTGGCACCTTGCATTATTAGAAATATTCATAGAAATATGATTTAATTTTTTCTTACTCGGTTTACTAAACAGGTTGTTGATTTTTTTTAAAAACGGAAAATAATTGAGTTGAAAATAATTCACTAAGATTGTACTTGGACGATCCTAAAGGAAGAAGAAGAAAGGAAGGGGAAAAGAGAGGTCGAGAAATACAAAAAAAAAGCGGTCATTAACAAAACACGAGTCAGAAAGATATCTTAGCTAGCATGTTGACCGAATTTTTAAAGACAATTGGAAGAATAGAATTAGAAATAATAAAAAGAAAGAAAGGAAAAAAGACATGATATCAAAACGGGCCGCTTGATGAAAACCAGATATCGGTCAAAGCATCTAGCCTACTTTTGCGTGTAGAAAGACACCTTATCAATTTGGATAAAGGGAAATTTTGGGAACAATGAAAACGAAATCTTAATCAGAGAAAAAGTGCTTTTGGGTTGAGGGGAGTGACCGGTGGAACGGTATACAGATTCTGACCTGTTAAAATTAGAACCCCCACATTGACGAGTGAAAGATGTTTTCAATTCAGATAAATTAAGATTTTCTGACTGCCGGGTCTGACAAAAACAAGAGGTGAAAAAAACGATTGTCTCAGATCACAGATGGCGACAATATTCTTTTCCTGAAGTCACAACTAATTAGCGGCAGGCTGTGTTGACAAAACCCAGGTGAGAAAAAGCCAAGATTATCATTTTTCGTACGTGAAAAACAAGAACGATGTAACCACGCCCGAACGGAGGAGAAAGGATGCTCGATCAATAACAATTGGTCGGAAACGGTCACGTGATCTGCAGAAAAAAGAGAAAGAAATGCCCGATCAGGAACCATTGGTCGAAAACGGTCACCTGACATACGAGAGACCAAGAGAGATGGGGTGCACCTCCCCACAAAAGGCACTGTGAGGAAGTAGGGGTGAAAACAATAGCGATAATGAGAAATCAAAAATAATGCGACTTTTGGAATTATCGAGAAAACCCTGACGCCGACAGACCCACCCCAGTTTGTTGCGGCGTCAATAAAAGCAGGACCCCAGTCGACAGAAATCAGTTGGAGTGGAGTTGCAGCTGAACCGCGGGCAGGGAAAGAGCCTGAACGCGGGCATCAGGCCCGATTCACTCGCCCCTTTGCGGGCAAAAGAATCCTCAGACAAGAAATCCTTCCAGCCCAAGTCGAAGACAGAAGAGTTCAGCCCCGGACGGCAGTGAGAAGAGATCACCTCAGACGACAGAGAGTTGCGGCTGAGTTGCGGCAAGAGATCCTTCCAGCCCAAGTCGAAGACAAGAGAACTTCCAGCCCAAGTCGAAGACAAGAGAACTTCCAGCCTAAGTCGACGAAGAAGAAGAAATACAACTCAAGTCGAAGAGAAGAATCAACTGCGAATGATCGATAGAAATTAGCCCCAGTGTCGAACCAAACCACACTCCGACATACACAATTCTAAAGAGTAGGCAATTCGAAATCTTTAGGTTGTGTGATAGAAGCTTGGTGCCATAGTCCACAGAGCGGGTTGGGAAATGAGAACAATTTTGTTTTTTATGTAACGGACATTAAGATAAAAGGTTGTTACCCATTTTTTTTCATCAGCAATCTTTTTGTCTCGTGAGTTTATTTTTCTCTTTTATTTGTGTTTTGCCACCCCTGTCGGACTCAACTTGTATCGGCCCCAATCCCTGCTGGTCCCGTCTGTCTAAGATCTAAACACAGCGTGGGTAGACAGACCGGAGATCGGTACAGTTGCTTTAGTGACCAGGTATTGGAAGCGAGTCGGGAAAGGCGAGGCTGGTGATCATCTGACCAAGGGGTTGGAGCGGCACGCTTGGACCCAGGAGGAGCGACCAGGAGGAGCGACGTCACCGTTGGCGCCGTAACCAAAGGATCCGACCCTGGGCCAGGTGTGTAACCGTCACATGGGTCATCCAGAAACTCTTCCAGTAAAATAATTTTTGAGGATAAAAAAAAACAAATTATGAGAAAACCTTAAAGGCAGAGGTCACAAAGCCAAACTAGAATTTAAACCTCAAATTAAATAACATACGGAGAACAATTTGAGGAAAAGAAAAAAAATATCATTTGCTTTTTACTCCTGCTTTTATCTTAGTGGTAAAATGTAAAATAGGGAAATTATTTTTCAAGTTACTTACTAAATACTTCCCCCAAAATTCAGAATTACATACGATATTCAATAAAAACACAGGTAAATTAAGCTACAGTTGCACTAGTAATTTAGAAACAATAATAGACAAAACGCCAGAAATCTTAAAACTAACATGCAGCAAAATATAGTTAACACTGTTAATTTATGCAACAGCAGAAAATAAGAATAGTTGCCCATTAGATGGAGCTTGAAAAACAGAAGCTATAATCTATAAAGCAGAAGTAACAGATGTTAATGTCCAAAATAAAGTGTACATAGGAAGTACTGAAGGTATTCAAAAGTAGATGGGACAATCATAGGTCGTCATTTAAGTTAGCAAACTAGCTAACCATAAGTGGAATTTAAAAGAAAAAACCCACAGGGATCCGTGTTGGTGTTACTTCTGTCACATGCTAGCAGCAAAACAGAGAAAAGAAAAAAAAAACAGTCAGGAGTGTCTCGTATATATAGCCTTTTAATAGCGCCGTTTAATAGCTCCACATCTTGACGAAACTGGTAAAGTCATGTGATGTTAAATAACATCTGTCGATGCAAAAATGCATATAGATATGCCAAATAATAAGAGGGGTAATTTTATAAAAAAGATCAATACGAATAGAAAGACTTAAATCAATGGGCCTTGTCTTTTGGGGTGATCGTAACACGGACACGCAAACAGAAAGTTCCAATATCAGAATAGATAAGGAAATGAATAATACCAACAAAAAACCAAATGATTTAAATATTCTATTAATAATATTAGGTTGATAGATGTGAACGAGCTGTAAAATTAAATCGAAATTTTATACAGATATACATATATACATGCATGTAACTAATATATACATCAATATATATATATATGAGATAACGATATATATTTTTGTATATCAAGAACAGTATTGGGGAAATTCTATGACAAAGTGAAAAAAGTTTACTTGTGACACGTTTCATCCTTTAGGATTTCATCGGACTAAATTTGTTATGTTGGTAAGACTACGCATGCGCACGGCAAAAGGGTGCTGGGAATTTTGGAATTTTTTTTTTTATCTAGCCGAATTAAATTAGAGTCTTTTTCTTTTTCGTTCCATCACATTTGTAAGTAGGTATTCCACACTATGTTAATAGAAGCTGTCAGGAATGGTGAAATGTTGTAACAGCCAGGGCGCAAATTTACTGTAGATGACCTTACGATCAAGACACTCTCTAGACATTTACGTCGTAGTAAATTATTTTCTACATTGAGTAGACTTTTTATATGTCAAAATTGTGGTCAGTCTCGTTACGGTGGGTAACTAATTTGACGTATTATTTTGTAAAATGTCCCTTTTGTATTCATATAATCTTTTATTTAGATTCATTGGGGTTTCTCCTATGTATTTTTGTGACAATTATTAGAACCGATGGAGTAAACTCCTCCTTCAGGTTTTAGCTTATTGTTTTGTTTAGTATTTAATAAGTCTTATATTGTTTTGGATGTAGTAGTAACAAATTTTATGTTGAGTTTAGATAGATTCTGTTCGATTGTAGATGGGACAGAATTAGTAGGCAAGATAGTATATTTTTTTGATTCATTGGGTTTCTCAGGAGGGGCCGTATTTTTGTTTTGGAATATTTTATGGGCTTTTTGCTTTGCATTGAATATGAAATAATATAATATATAATATTAGAAAAAAAAAAACAAAACAAAATAAAAAAAAACGAATGAATTCGGCCAGATAAAAAAAAAGTATTCTTAAATTTCCAGACCCCCCCACCTCTATCGTGCGCATGTGTAGCCCTACCAACGCAAAAAATTTAGTTCGATGGATGAAACGCGTCGCAAGTAAATCTTTTTCACTTTGTCATATATATATATATATATATATATAATTTAGTATGTTTGATCTGCTAGTAAAGAAGAATGCGGCTTTTGTCAAGAGAAGACAAGGAAGGAAAGTACTTCAAAGAAAAATACAAAGAAGTTCAAGTCGATAGAAAGACGATGCCAAGACTTTGTTGAAAAGAATTAAAGAACTTGAAACAGAAAGACAACAATTGTGTGGGAAAAGGGGGAAAAAGAAAGAAAGCAGGAGATGGAGATAAAGAAGAAGGTAGAGAGAGAGAGAGAGAGAGAGAGAGAGAGGTAGAATATGATGTGTCTCTCTAACAAATAGGAGAAAAGAAAGGACAGAGGCACGTGAGAGAGAAAAACGGAAAGAGAGATAGAGAATGTGAAAAAGCGAACGATGGAGAGAGACAGAAAGAGAGATGCAGAGTAAATGTTTCCCGAAGATACAAGAGAAAGAAAGGATATATGCACGTAAGAGAGAGGGGCAGACAAAAAAGAAAGTGAAGGAGCAGGAGATGGAAATAAGTGAGTGGTAAAGAAAGAAGGAAGCAGAATAAATGAATTAGAAGTAGAAGAAAGAAAGAAAGAAAGAAAGGAAAAAGGCACGATAGAGAGAGAGAGAAAGAGAGAGAGAGAGTGCGAGCGTGTGTGTGAGAGAGAGAGAGCGAGATATAAGGAGAGGGATAGAGAAAGAGAGCAAAAGATGGAGATAAAAGGAGAGGGAGAGAAAGCGAGACGCAGAGTAAATGTTTTCCTCTGATACTGGGAAAAGAAAGGATATGTGGACGTAATTTTATATATATATATATATATATATATATATAAAAATAAAAAATACATTTTTATGTTTATTATTTACATTATTCGGACTATTGTTCTCATCTTTGTCGCCATATTTAAATATGGCGACAAAGATGAGGACAATAGTCCGAATAATGTAAATAATACTTCATCTCAGAAATATAGATTTTTATGTTTATACATTCCTTTTATAGATACAAATAGTTAAGTAAATGTCCCGTTTATAATAAACAGTATTAAACAACATTTACCGGCCTGAATGTCAGAGAAATTTTCATAGAAAATATTCGTCCTCCGACATGAATCGAACCTGTATCCTATACGGAACCGTCAATTAGCCTGACGTACCTTAACCGATTGACCCACAGAGGATCGTTCGGCTAGCCATGTCGATTTTATTGCTTTTAAACTACAATTTTCCATGATTCTCTCACGTACATTCATATCTGCTCATGGCGTACCCAAATGTAAGCAAATGACGTCACACATTATGAAATGGACAAAGAAAATATCTTAAAATAAATGTCGGACTTTGTCGATTTCATAATGTGTGACGTCATTTGTTTACATTTGGATACTATATTAATATTTTGAGAGAACGAAAGATGGGGATAAAAATAGGTGGGATGGAAAGAGAGAAACAGAATAAAAGTCTCACTATAATGCAAGAGAAAGAAATGTTCACGTAAGAATGGTTGAGAGAGAGAGGGAGTATCGAGAGCAGGAGATGAAAATAAAGGGTGTGGTAGGGAAAGAGTGAGACAGAACAAATGGTAAAGGAAGAGAATAAAGAAAAGACAGCGACACGTAAGAGAGAGAGAGAGAAGGGGAGAGAGAGAGGAGAGAGAAAGAAATCTAAGTTTGGAGATAAAAGGAGGGAAAGAAAGAGAGATACAAAGTAAATGTTTTTCTGAGATACAGGAAAAAGGTAAATGCACTTATGATTGAGATAGATAGATAGATAGATAGATAGATAGATAGATAGATAGGACAGAGAAAAAGATAGATAGATAGATAGATAGAGAGAGAGAGAGAGAGAGAGAGGTAGAACGGAAGATGGCGATAAAAGGGGAGAGATATATATACAGTGTGACTGTCTTTCTGAGATACAAGAGAAAGAAAGAATAAATACATGTAGTGATTTTCTAAGCGCTGCTTAGATATGGCACAAGGCCGGAAGCATTGAGCACCCAGTGAGGATCGAATTCACTACTCAGTCGTAACATGTTCTAGCGAGACAAGCTTGCTAACCATTACACCACGCCGAGGTGCCCATATAGTGATTTTCTAAGCCCGGCTTAGATGTGGCACAAGGCCGAAAGTATGGGGCACCCAGTGAGGATCGAACTCACTACTCAGTCGTAATTGATCTAGCAAGACAAGTTTTCTAACCATTACACCACATCGAGATGCCCAAAGAATAAATGCATGTAAGAGAGAGAGAGAGAGAGAGGGAGGAGAATGAAAGTGAATATATGATGGAAATAAAAGGGAGAGGTAAAGAAAGAATGAGGCACAATAAAAGATATAGAAGGGAGAGGGAGAGGGAGAGAGAGAGCGGCGATGGAGAAAAGGGTTAGGGAGAGAAAGAGAGATGCCGAGTAAAAGGAACAGGAGAAAGAAAGGAAAGATGAACATAGGGAGAAAAAGATAAAGGGAGATGTAAGTTAAAATGGAGGGAGAAAAAGATAGAGGGAGAGTAAATATCTGTCTAAGGAACATAAGAAAGAAAGCATAGAGGCACGTCAGAGAGATATTGAGAGAGTGGGATGGGAAGATGGTAATTAAGGGAGAGGGAGAGAAAGAGAGAGAGAGAGAGGCGGCATAAATATATTTCTCAGAAACAGGATAAACAACAGACAGAAGAACGTGTGTGTATAAGAGAGAGAGGGAGGGAGAGAGGGAGAGGGAGAGTGAGTGTTACACAGAAAAGGGGCGAAAGAGAGAATATTAAATGTTTGTGTAAGGAATAGGAAGAAAATGGTTGTGATTGAGAGAGAGAGAGAGAGAGAGAGAGAAGTGAAAGTGAGGGCGAAAGAGAGAGATAGAGAGGGAGGAATGGCGAAAAGCATTTGTAAAGAATATATCGAAAAAGCAGGGCAAAAAACACACATCTATAATAGGAGTAGATAGTTGGCTGTCTTCCCGGTCTTTTGAAGAAGAGTAGATGTTTACTCCTTGTTTACACTTTATCATACTTCTTTCCCCTTACACACACACACACACACACACACACACACACACACACACACACACACACACACACACACACACATATATATATATATGTTGCATTAAAAACGACAGACAAAGTACTCCGGTTAAGCTTTTTATTTAATTTTTTTACCTGAGTTCGAGCAAGAGCTTTCTTTTCTGGAGAAAGAGTGTGTAAAAACTGTCAAAATTACAAAGAACGAACATTATCTATGAGTTCAAATGCCCCTTAAGGAACTGTGTTCCTGATCAAACCGGACTCATAAATAATTACATTGGTTACGCAACTACATCCTTATCCAGATGTCTTACGTTACACCTATCTGATCATAGCTCCATTAGAACCCATTTAAACTAACTCACAAACTTACTAGATTCCATTAGAAACATACTGGTAGAAAACACAAATATAATAAGCTCATCCACTTGTAAAAACAGATTAAAAATAATGGAAGCTTTAATAATAAAAAAGAAAAAAGCCAACTCTTAACAATATTAACTACGAACAAAGCCACAATGTGCTAACCGTATTCGGAAATTAAAAAAATGAAAGCTCTTGTTTGAACACAAGAAAAATTAAATAAAAAGCTTAACCTTAGTAACTTGTCTGTCGTTTTTAATGAAACATGCATAAACGAAGGGTTGCTGCCTAAATATACAAATCTATCTATCTATCTATCTATCTATCTGTGACGTCGTCCCCCGGTCGCAGCGCCGACTGTGACGTTCTATCCTGATCTACCACGGCGCCAGTTGTGACGTCCCTAAACGGCACCAATTGTGACGTCTTCGCCGCGGCGTCAGCTGTTCGCTCCTCGCTGCTCCGTCCGGATGTCGCTGCTCCAAACGTGACGTTCTAACCCTTTGGTGATTCGGGTAGGAATCTGGTTAGATTGATACCAGCCTCGCCGTTCCCAACCTGCTTCCAACGCCTGGTTACCAGGGTAACTGCACTGATCTCAGTCTGCCTACCCACGTTGTGAATTGATCTTAGATAGACGAGATCAAACGGGGTTGGGGCCGTAATGCAAATTGAGTTCAACGGGGGTGATAACACACAAATATGTATAAAAGAAAATAAAATGAAAACTCACAAAGTTCAAAGTATCAAAGAAAAAGGTAACAAACTTTTTATGTCTAGTTGTTCGGTACATAGGACTATGTCTACTTCCCGACCCGTTCTGTGGACTGTGGCACGACGCTTTCGCTAGGCAAACTTTAACGCTTCAAGTTGTCTGCTCTCTAAGAAATTTGTGTTTCGGTGTGTCTTTGGACGGAAGTTGAAAAACTTATTTCTGTGGTCTGGTTCTAAGTCGCTCTTCAAACTACTTGTTCTTGGTTGAAGAAGAGTCCAAAAGTGTGTGTGAATCTTGGTCAGCTATCTTGATGCGGTTTCAACACTGGGCACTCATCTCTGCCGCCTGCCGTCCGGGGCTCAACTGATTTCTGTCGGTTGGGGTCTCGCTTTTATTGACGCCGACAAAAACCGGGGTGGGTCTGTTTGGCGTCGTGGGTTCTTCGGGATAATTCTAAATACGTATCCACCCTTCTTATTTCTGGTTATTGGGATTTTCCACTCTTTTCCATTTTTGGTAACTCTTTTCTCCTCCCCACTCTCTCACCATGCTTCTGAGGGGCATGAGCTGCTCTCCCCACTTCTTCGTATCGGCTTCTCATATTTATACTCTGGATAGAGGCGTCGACAGATTTTCTTCGTGCGTCACGTGACCACTCTCGGCCAATGAGGTCCTGGTCGGGTATCTTTCCTCCTCCTTCGTGCGTCATGTGATGATCCACTTGGCCAATGACGTCTTAGTCGGGCGTGAACAACCCGTGTCTTTGTTTTGGGAAAGAAATACCTTGCTTAACTAAAAAAATTAATTAAATCGCCCTTATTATGAGCGGCCGAGGTGACAACTCGGTTTCAACACGTGGCGTTTGTCAAGCAGTTTATCGCTAAATTGGACATGGCCTAAGAAAGGAATTTTCTCCAAGTTTCCAGCCAACTTGGCGTCTCCAAAGCAAAAATAAAAATATTTCATTTTCCTTCGGCCCATGTGTTGATAACAAAAATTTTATTATCGCAGGGCAAAAGTCTGTTTTGTGAAAACTACTTGTGTGGGATTTAATTCTCCACACCCAGTCAAGACTGTCTGTGTTTCGTCAATGTTCAAAAATGGGTTTTCTTCTTTTGGTGACATCCATTGATAACATAATTCCATTTTCGTGGATAATAGTGGAAATCGGTCAACGCTTGTTCGTAGGTGACCTAGATATTTTCGACATTTGATACCTATCAACAATAACCCTTTTCTTCTTTATTCTCGTCTCTTAAGCCGTAAGTGTGTGTGTGTTCGCCTATGACCCGTCTCGTATTACTTTTTCTTTTTTTTCTTCTTCGTTTTTCTTTCTTTCTCCCAAAATCCACTTGAATGCAAAGAAAGAATTATTCTTAAAACCTAAAATATTTTCGGCCCCAAACAATCCTCAAATGGTTGATAAACCGTAAAAAAGTAAATCATATATCTATAAATATTTCTTTCAAATCGTCAGGATGCATGGTGCCACATATCTATCTACATAAAATTGTCTATATTATTCTCCTTGTGTTCTTCATTTTTATGTGCCGTATCCCCTCAGGACGTAACTCTCCACAACTCCACGCGATCATAGCTCCCCACAACTTCCAGTCCTTTGTAGTTTTTAATAAATTTTTGTTTTTTCGCTATTTCTCCTAAACCCTGTTCCTCCACCCATTCACTTAAGCTCATCAAGTATGTTATGAACTGCTTTCCTTTTTCCCTTTTGCCCTCAATCTCTCCTGTGAGTATCACATTTTCCAAGCCCTCCTTCCTCATTATGTGGCCCAGAAATTTCAACTGTCTCTTCCTGATGTTAAGTATAAGTTTCTTTTTTTGATTTCGTTTTCTCTAAAACTTAATCATTGCTCATATGTTCGGTCCATGGTATCCTCAGCATCATTCTGTAGAATCACATTTCTCTTCAAGTCTCTTCTGAGGTAATCCACTAGTATTCACTGAGATTATAGGAGGAAGGACACAGTTCTCTTTTATTTGTTTCTAGCGAAGTTAGTCCGTCTTGTAATGTTAGTGAATAAAATTAATTTTTTTTAACGTCGTCACTTGAAGCTGTGAAGATTAAGAAATATCTAAAAACCATTGCACATCGAAGCTTACATCACCTGGTATATCCCAGTTGGTCACCAATCTACGTAAGCGTGCGGGAACTGGCGTCTCAATGTGATGTGGCCGGAAGTGAGAAGAGGAAAGGTTATTTATTACTGTATATGAATACAATAATTGTGGCAAAGCGAGAGGAGGAAGTAAATGAATAAAAGCATACTTTACTACGGGAATGCATGTCTAAAGTAGAGAGAAAGTACGAAAGCAGCAGAGAATCAAACAATGAGGAAGAAAGGTAATGAAAATGATATACAGTGTAACCCGGATATAAGAGAAACCCGGATATAAGAGAAACCCGGATATAATAGAGATTTTCTCTGGTCCCAAATTAGAGCCTGTGTTAATGTATATAAATTAGACCAAACCCGGATATAAGAGACTTCTTCTCCGGTCCCGACAACTCTCTTATATCCGGGTTACACTGTATATATATATATATATATATATATATATATATATTTCATTTTGCACATTTACAAATCTACCATTCGCCATATACTGTTGCCATATCTGGTCTGGTGCTTCTGCTACTCATCTCAAGGTTCTTGAAAAAAAATCCAAAGAAGGATCTGCAGTTTAATCGATCCTGACTTGGCCTCTCGACTTCAGCTACCCCCTCACCGACGTGGCTTCCCTCTGTCTTTTCTACATATCTTTTTATTGCAACTGCTCTGACGAGCTTTTGTTCCTTGGTGCTCGGACTTCGTTAGCTGAAGTCCGGCATCTAGGTCCCACCCTTTTATTGATAAATTAGGTAAATGTAATCGCCACTTCTCCCCCGACAATTTCCTTTCTAGCAGTTCCCGCCTGTGGAACTCTCTAACTTTTCATTGCTTTCCTGATAATTACAACCTTCAAAAATCTAAATGCAACCTCAATCGCCATCTTCTATCTTCTTGGACCCCGTTCAGCTTTTATCCTTTCCTCAGTCCTCATTATACTCAATCTATTCTCCCTCCTTCACTGCGTACCAGTGGCTTCCTCGCCTTGCTTGAGGTGAAATGATTTTAAAAAAAAGACAAAAAGCAAAAATTGATGATTTAAATTCTACAATGAGTTCTGTGTATAATTAATATATATATTAAGCGCTACAAAATTTAATTTTTTGAAATTTCAGAAAATTAAATAAATAAAAAATTTTTTTGACAACATTTTCTAAAAAAAGAAACATTTCTAAAATAAGAGTGGTAAAAATTTCATGAAAATCCGACAATTATTTGATTTTTACTATAATTTCCAAATCAATGTTTTTTTTCACTGCAAAAAGGCCAAAATTTCCTATATTAATCTTTTGTCCCCCCACCCCCACTGACAAAAGAAAAACAAAATTTTTAACTAAAAATTTGAACGTTCTAAAAAGGAACAAAACATATAATTAAATAATAAAAAAAAAACCTTTAGTCTTTTCCCTTAATAAAAACATGAAGATTTTGAGGATAAAATGTTTTTATTAAGTTTGTGGAATTTTTTTTCATTATGGTATATTCATTTTTTATCGATTCAGTAGTCGTAGCTAATATAGAATGAAATACACTATACAATAGACAATAATACTGAAACAGAGAGAAGAGACGAGAGAGAGAGAAAGAAAGAGAGAGAAAGACGAGAGAGAAGAGGGAGACGCGAGAGAGAGAGAGAGAGAGAGGCGAGAGAGACGAGTAAATAGAAGAGAAAGAGAAAAGGAGAAGAAGAGACGGAGAGAAGAGAGAGACAAATGAGAGAAGAGAGAGAATATTTAATAGAGAAAATAGAGAGAGAGGAAAGAAAGAAAGGAAGAAAGAGAAAAAGAAGAGATATAAGAGAGAGAGAGAGAGAAAGAGAGAGAGAGAGAAAGAGAGAGAGAGAGAAAGAAAGATGGGGGAGGTGAGTTGAGTAAAATGATTCCAATGTTGGTTGTGCATGGACAAAAAGTTAAGAAGACAATGATTCGTGAAATATAAGCAAAGTAACATTGGACTTTTTAAGAAATTAATTTTGCTTTTTAATAGTAATCATCTAGTATTAGGGTCATGAGCCACTCAAGTTAAAGGATTATTGAATATGGTGTGTAATATGAATGTAAGTGTAAGTAGTGAAGATTATATGGATATGAACGATAAGAAATTATTGAGCATTGAGTTGGAGGTGTTAGGATTGTAGTGTACAAGGAAGCATCCACACGGGAGTCTGTTCCACAGAGTAGCAGTTCGAGGGACGACGGTGTCTGAGTAGAATGATAATTTTTATGCCTCTTCAGTTAATATCTATCTATCTATCTATCTATCTATCTATCTATGCCTGTTCGCATATATCTATCTATTTATCTATCTATGGCTGTGAATACTTGTGTGCATTTCGGTGTAATCTCTTAGCAAACTGGAAATTATATATATATATATATATATATATATATATATGTGTGTGTGTGTGTGTGCAAATATATAGAAAAATAAGAAAGAATACGTTAGATAAATAATCCGGAGTTCTTGAGTATTTTTGTTTTGATTTTTGAAAAAAAAAACATTGCTTCATACAAAAGTAGAACTTAAATTATAATTATTTTTTTATTTATTTTTATTTATTCTTTTTTATAATTATTTCTCGAAGGAATCATATTTTTAAAAAATGATATATATATATATATATATATATATATATAGAGAGAGAGAGAGAGAGAGAGAGACAGACAGACAGAGCGATAAAGTGATAGACAGATATTTTTCTCTGTGCGTGAATGGGTGCATATTTTTTGGGAACACAATTTTAAAAAAAATCTCGTCCCTTCAAGCTGTTAAGCATAATAAATCTAAGGACGCCTACTGTGGATTCTTAGAAAACTCGTCTTGCAAACAGATACGCCATTATTTTGTTTTTGTCAGTACCAGCTGACACCTAAATTTGACCTTGTGCCACACGAATCGAAACTTTAGGAAATAGTTTCTAGTCGTTTGCATTGCATTTCCAGTTTGTGCCATTTATCGACGTTCGAACCCAGGTAAATGTCTAGTTCTTTTAATGTTGATTTTCCCGGCATGCACAACTCACTTTTTACTTTGAAAGATTGGCGCAACACATTCTTCCATATTTTTGTTTTTATTATTTCGCATCTTAATTTGCTGCACTCTGCGCTTTATTTCTTTAAACCTCGGTAAAAGAAGAGAAAGAAACGCAGATGAAAAGCAAAAAGGCCAACCCAGAAATAAGTCGAAATAAAGAAAGCAATTGATTATAGGAATATAGCGTAAGAAAGTGGGAAAGAGCAGTTATAAAAAAAAAAATGAAGCAAATATTTGATACAGTAAACTGGAAGAGAGAGGAGAAGAGAGAGAATAAGAAAGAACGAGAGAGAGAGAGAGAGAATTTAGCGGTTGAGAAAAATGAAGCAACAAAGTCAATAGAACAAAGTTAAAGAAATAACAAAAAAGCGACGCTGAAAGAAAATGTTGCAAAGAACGATAACTCATCTCATATAAACAGTTCAGAGATAAATCAATGGCCACTGAACAAAGAGATAAAAGTAGCCGGGGAACCCTTTTTATCCAAAAGATATAAAAATGTCGACAAATCAAAAACGGGCGATAACATCTCGAGATATAGAGTAAAGGCTTGAAAAATAACCTCGCTGATTGCGAGAAACACATGTCAGGCACGGGCGCTAAAGGGTGACCACTGGACTGTTACAAAGGGCGGAAAATAGCTTGTTGCGAAGAGAAGTAAAAATAGGACAAAGGAAGATTGTACGATGTGGTTAACATGCAACCTAGCCCTTTAATGTCGGGTCGGTCGTCGTGGTTAAGTCATGAAGGAAATCTAGGACAGAAATTGATGAACGATTTATAAACACGAAAACGCCATAGAGTAACGATTGATGTTAAGTTTCGGAATGAGCTACACTTTCTTTCATTCAAATCATTTTTATTCTCATCCAGTTTTTATCTTATACTTTTTATTCTTTCACTGCATTTTCTATTATTATTAAGAGTAGTTTTTCAATTTAGGTTGTACTTCTGCTTTCATTCAATTCCATCAATTTTTCCACCTTGTGATCGCCATTTTTCTTTCTCTCTTTCTTTTGTCGTTCAAAGCCCTTTCAATTATGACTTCATTTCTGTTTAGCCCTTTCAGGACCGATCTATTTTTACCACTTTTGATGACTTTTCTTTGTTAATTTTCATTACTCCTTTATTTAATCATTCTTTCTTCCTCTCTTTGTTTACATTCGTAATTTCTTTCCATTTTAATCTTTCATTTCTTGCATTATTTACATTATTCGGACTGCTATCCTCATTGCTATATTCATAACGTTTGGGCCCTTTATTTCGTCCACCACGGTAGATTGTTCGAGTTCCACGTACCATGCCTCTTGTTTCAGTTACTTCCCTTTAACTCAATTCCCCAAGTTTTGGTTCACTACTGCTGCGATCTGGTACTGAACTCACAACTCTTTGGGTCTAGTCACTGGATTTAACCAACGTCTTTATCCACTGGGCCACTTTCTTTCTTAATTTTCCGTTTCTTTATTTTTTGCATTCCTTTATTTAATCTTTCATTCTTTCTCTCTTCTTTAGCTTCTTTAATCTTTCAGTTCATTGATGTTTCTTTCTTTTATTTGTTCATTTTCTTTCTTTCTTTCTTTTTGCTTCTCCATTCGCAATCGTTTTTCTGTTTCTTTCTTTCTTTCCATTTTAGTTTTCTTTCTTCGTTTCTTTCTTTCTTTCTTTCTCCATTCGCATTCGATTTTCTGTCTATTTCTTTCTTTTCATTTTCTTTCTTTCTTTCTTTCTCCACTCGCATTTGTTTTTCTGTTTATTTATTTATTTTTCTTTCTTTCTTTCTTTCTTTCTTTTTTCTTCTCGATTCGCAAAGTTTCTTTCTTTCTTTCTTTCTTTTTTCTTCTCGATTCGCAAAGTTTCTTTCTTTCTTTCTTTCCTTTTTAATTTTCTTTCTCCATTCGCATTCATTTTTCTGTTTATTTCTTTCTTTCTTTCCATTTTAATATTCCCTTCTTTCTTTCTTTCTTTCTTTCCCCATTCGCATTCGTTATTCTGTTTATTTAATTTTCTTTCCATTTTAATCTTTCTTTCTTTGTTTCTTTCTTTCTTTCTTAATTTTTCGCCTCCTTATTTTTTCTTATTCGATTATTTAATATTTTATACTTTCTTCTTTAATCTTTAAATTTATTGATCTTTTTTATATCCTTCATTCTTTTTTTCTTTCTTTATTCCTTTCTTTCTTTAATTCCCTTGATATTCTGTCACTTAGTCTTCGTCTTTTACAACTTTTTCTCTTGTTTCGTTGCTGTCTCCTTTCATCCAAATCACATTGCCTAACCCAGCACGAATCTGCCGGGTTCAGACTGACTTTCATCATAATGATCATTCAATTGTGGACTATGACTGAACAAAAGATGACAACTTTACACGTAGCATTATGTTGGAAACCTCGGCCGAATATTCTCAAACTCCCCGGGTCACAGCGCCATATTGTTCTTTGACTTCTTCATTTTCATTTAAGACACAATTCGGGTCAAAATGTCAATATTTTATCGAATGAACAGAGATCCCTCGAAGATGCCAAAAGTGTTACTCTAGTTGTTACAGATTGTCCCAAAAGTCTCAAACGGTCTTTAACATTTAATCTTTTCGCTTATTTGATTAGTTTATCCGAAGGATATTAAAAAATGAAATTTTTTTTTTTAAATTTCTTATCTCTGTGTCTCTTATTTACAATAAAGATATTGAAATGTTAAACACTTTCATAACATTTCCCCACTCCATACACTTATATAGTCAATGACGTCCATAGGAGGTGTTTGTACGAATAACATGCATTCTGGTCTAAAAATATTACTATTTACAATATCTGCCTATATCTCTGAGATGAGGTATTATGATTACATACATTATTTACATTATTCGGACTGTTATCCTCATCTTCCTTGTCATATTCACAACGTTTTGGCCGGAAGAGGCATAGCTCGTTGAACTAGCACAGTCTACCCCGGTGAACGAAATAAACGGTTCGGTTTGAAATTCCAATCACCTAAAGAAGGCCGGAGCGTACAACGTACGAAACGTTGTGAATATAGCAATGAAGATGATGATGACAGTTCGAATAATGTAAATAGTGTAAATTACTATTTACAATATTTACATGCAGTCTATTCTCTTCATCTTTGTTGTTGTTATTACATCATTATAACATCATTAGGGAAATATCTCGTCTAGTTCTTATTTTTAGTACTGCTCAGCTATTGTTCATGATGTTTTCATTATATAAAGGGTGTTTCATTAAGACGGATTATATATCATATATTAATATTCATTAACACAGACCAAAGTCAGCAGTAAATAAATCAGTGTTATTGTTGAAAATTTATTTCTCTATTGGATCATGTTATTTAAGTCATGGCAGTTATGTGTGAAATAGAATATCGCCCAAATTTCTGTCAAATTTTATATTCACCGCGTGAATAAACTAGGAATACATTAATGATTCAATTTTGGATTGGTCAATAATGACCAACTTAATAAAAATTACGAACTTCGCTCCCACAACACAATAACATCTATAGCACTTCTTCGTTTATCACGTGTTATGGTATTCTCTGTATTTGTAGAACAACGACTCTGTCATCAGAGATGAGGTGAACCAACAGTGTCCCACATTCACTGCTATCCAGGCAGATAGATATAACATAGCAATCTGTTTGTATTCTGTGTTTCTCAGGACATTTTCTGATCTATGAATACCTTTCTCTGTTTCTGGAAGTCATCTTACGCTGTTCCAATTATTGCGTTGTGTCCTCTCTGGCTCGCTACGCTACTACATGAAACGGTATCAACGAAAAAGGACCATTTCTTTTTCTTATTCATTTTAATAGGAGAGAGTTATGGCAGCTTGGATTCTAAGAGGCAGCGGGATGAATGACGTCACAGGAGCGCATATCTCACCTAAGTTCAGCGTCTCTCAACATGGGCGTGGGAGGCGTATCGGCGCTTCAGAATTCTTACGGCTTTCTGTTGAATTCGAGCCGTTTTGAACATATATTCAAAACCCAGACAAAGGCAATCACTGTTAGAATACCATGCTCACGAGGCTATCTGGCCAATTGATGACCATTTTGGCTTTCGCATTCTGTAACATAATGCACCTTCAGACCTCCGTGTGACGCTTTCAGTCGTCTGTTACTATACTAATCAGATAGTTGAATTACTGCACCAGCATGATTTTGACAACCCTTATACATATTTCGCAAGAGTTTTTGCCAGGCGACTCGAAACTATCCCGTTCTTGAACGAGTTTAATTTTGTTTCCTCATATGCAAAGAAGCTGATTCTAGCAGTGATTCCCAAGGACCAGGAGATATTCTAATTTCAGCGACGCGTTGGACGTAATATTGTGTCACAAGAGCATCAATGATATGTGTTGGCTCGTTCGTATATTCTGCATATGTGGTCAATAAGATTAGCTAACATTGGACAGAGTCTTCCAAATCCCACTGCCTTCAAGGCAAGCCATGAAAAAATCCGTCCAGCTGGCAACAAGAGAATAGTTATAAGAAGTCAAAACGTACAAGTCAGTTTTTGTTTGCTTACTGTAAAATTGATTATATCCAGGATTGTCGAAATCTCATCCGACAGAAGCAAGCGGTTTTGGTTAACTGATGAACGAATAATTGAATATTACTACTACATTCTGCAATTTATTTAGAAATTCTTGATAAAATACAAAAATGAATCTGCAATGTAATTGGTTCTGACTTGCTCTCTCGGCTTCAGCCAATTTCTCACCGCCGTAACGTACATTCCTTGTGACTTTTCTATAATTTTTTTTTATTGTAATTGTTCTGATAAGCTTTCTCCATTTATGCGCTGTACTAGATTGGCGGCAAAGTCTCATCATCTTACAGTTGAAACAGTTAGATATAACTGCAAATTCTATACTAACAGTTTTTTTCTCTCGCACTTCTCGCTTGTGAAACACTGATCCGGCTTTTTGCTTTCCATCCAACTTTGATCTTCAAAAATTTAAATGTAATGTCAAACTTTATCTGTTTTCCTAATTCCTATTCTTTCATTGATCACTCACATTAATAATGTTTTTTTTTTTCTCGCAGTCACTCACACTCAATGATCACTTGCATCTTAGTGGCTTTATTACCATGCTTGGAGTGAAATGATCAAAACAGAAGTCCAAAAATTAACAATAAATAAGTCATAATTTGTCTTTCAATCACTAATATTTATTGTCTAATTTTGAGGTAGCTGGTATTGTTTAAAGGCAGAAACCTCTGATTAATACCGGATTTATAGAAAGGTAGAATTAATACAAGACTTTCTTTATAAAATTATAATTATTATCATTTTTTATAAGCCTAAAATTAATACCAGACTTTATAAATCTATAATTAATGCTGGATTTTCATTATAAAACTATAATAAATACTGGGCTTTCATTATGAACCTATAATTAATACCGGATGTTTTATAAAACTAAAATTAATACCGGCTTTCTTTATAAACCTATCATTAATAACGAATTTTTTAGAAACCTATAATTAATACAGGGGTTTCTTTATAAACCTATAATTAATACCGGATGTATTTTTTAGAAACCTGTAGCGAACTTTCTTTAAAATGCGATAATTAATACCGGATTTAAAAAATAAAAAATCTATATTTAATACTTGATTTTTTAGAAATCTTTATTTAATATCGGATTCTTTTCAGAAACCTATAGTTAATACCGGATTATCTTAATAAACTTATAATTATTACCGGATTTTCTTTTAGAAACCTCTCATTAATGCTGATTTTTCACAAAATCCAAAGAAGGGCCTGCAATAAAATCGATGATGAGCAGGCATCTTGTTTCCAGTCATTTTCTCACCGACGTGACGTGGCTACCTTCTGTTCGACAAATATTTTTCTGTCAATTGCTGGGATGAGCTTTTCTTTTTCCTGGTGACCCGATTACAAGTACTTATGCGTGCTACTAGAGTGGCAACTAGGTCTCAAAGCTTTACTGTTGAACTAGCTCGATGCAAATGTTATTACTTCTCTAACAGTTTTTTTTTCTCGCACTTCCCACCTATGGAAATCCTTTCCAAGTTCTTTCTTCCCTGATAACTACAATCTTCATAAATTCAAATGCAACATCAATCGATATTGTTCCGTCTTTGGTCCTCCCCACTTTCAATCTCTTTATTCTCAATCTATTGCACTCACATTCCCTGCAACACCCTGCGTTCTAGTGACATTGTTACCTTAGTTGGCGTGAAATGATTAAAAAATAAGGCCGTTTTCAAGTACCGTATTTGACTGCATATAAGGCGCACTTTTTTCTTTTACTAAAAATATCTTTTAAAATTCCCCTGCGTCTTATATGCCATATGTAAGTTTAAAATTCGCGCTTTTTTTTTTTTTTTTACTAAAAATATCTTTTAAAATTCCCCTGCGTCTTATGTGCCATATGTAGGTTTAAAATTCGCGATAGTCGGCCGAAATTAGCTACCTGGCAATTCCTATTAGCTTAACATGAAGGAGCAATGCCTGATCACGACCTTACACAGGAAGAATAAAAAAAAACGGCATTCCACAAGTCTGTGAATGGGTGAAGCAACCTTGGGATAATATTAGACCAGAAATTGTTGTGAAATCTTTTAAAAAGTGTGGCATTAGCAATGCTCTTATGGAATTAACACATTAATTCCATTTATATTTTACGCGCGCGCGAGTTTCCTCCCTTCCTTTCACACTCGTGCGTGTGTGCGCGCGTGTTTTCACCCCTACCTTTTCACTCACAGATAAACATAGCAGTTTACTTTAAGCTCCCTACTGATTTGGACTCATAACAGATTTTGAATTTTCCGCGCGTTTCGCGGCGTTTCAAAAAGCCAGCGTTTGCAAGCCAGATTGCCTCTTAGCTTTCGACCGGACTGGATGGGCAACTCATTTTATTCCGTGCACTTATATTATACGCGGGCGGAATATCTTATTTTTTCAACAATGTCGACTGCACCCCCTCTACCAAGACTTTTTTCTCCTTTAAATAAGCTGCCAACAGGTCGGACCTTTCTCCGTTTTTCTACCAGAAGATGTTTTAGAGATACGCGACACTGTCGAAAGCAAAGATTCGTATTCAACTAATGGCACTTTTTATCCCTCGTCAGG